TAACAGATGATCACCAAAGGAACTGGCTTAGAGTTTAAAAGTGTTTGCCCAGCTCAGACTGCCTTGCAAGGAACAACTGACAAAATCCTTTCCAGTGCCCTGCTTTGCCTTCTCAGACACCTTATGAATAATCTTAAGGGAGGCTCTCTGAAGCTCCAGAATTTTTCACGTTCCCCTCCCAATATCCTACTTTCTTCACTTACAAAACAGTGGGTACCTACCGGGAGAGCAAGCTTTACTTTTCTCCAAGCATGATCATAAATTGCAGCAGTCCCCCAAAGCAACAGCCTTACTGCTAACCTCATAAAAATGGAAATTTGACTCAGAATAGCTAAAATAAGCTTTCTGCGATGCGAAGTAACAGAGCTAGGATCCGGTTCTTGCTCAAAGGAATAGAAGGGTGGCATATTAATCTTAAACTATGGCAGTACTGTAGAGTTTCAAAAACTGAAATGATATATGCAGGAAAATGAGGAATTTCCACTAGGGACTGTAATTCATATATTATGGGAGAGATTAAAGAATAATAAATTTTGGAAGGAAGTATTAATGGCTATATGGGGCACTGTGAACCTGGCACTCCCTGAAGCCTGGAACTTTGTATACCAAACACTAAAAATGATTTGTGCAGGAGCAGAAAACGTTAGATGTTATTCTGACCGTGACCAGTTACATACTGTACAAAGAAAGAACTCAGCAAGAGAAAAAACTTCCTCTATAATTTAGTGATTAACAGACAGGATATTTGCCGTTATGTCAAATGGTAACCATCTCTGGGAAGACGAAAAGGGATGACAGCACTTATGATATTTCCCTTGCTCTTAGAGAAAGCCTGACCACAATGGTCCTGAAAATCATTAGCGATGCTGCTGTGCATTCACATGCAACAGCTTTCACCCAAAGCTCTTTACAAACTGAGGCAGGGAAGCTAAGTAAAGTGCTCAGAGTGCAGCAAATGTCACAGCTTTGCCCTAGGTTTATAGCTCCTAGAGTCCTGCCCTTCTCTTGAGTCCATCCTCTTTCCCGGTGTTGATAATGGCACCCTTTGACTTGCATGCTGAAGCCTCTGTTTTAGCCTTCATGTTTGTCCGCTCTAGAGATCAATTTTTTGGCAAGACAAATAAAACCTCCATTCAAAGCAAGTTAAAGGTGAAAAATTTCCTGCTTCTTAGCCAAATTAATTAGAAAATACCATATATCCATACATTTTCCACAGAGTTATTCCTACTATGTTAGGAGGTCTCTTGGTGAACTACTCTGGGGACACACAAGCGTGTGAGGCAGCAACCAGCTCATTATTCAGAGAATTAGCACAGGACTGACCAGGCCACAAACAGTTGACAGCTGTACTGCCTCAAGAAGTGGTCCTTCAAGAAGAGGCATGAAATATTAACTAGGGAGTTATGGGACACTTTCAGAGCCCATTGACCATCTGACTAGAACTCTTGCCTCTCCCAGTCTCGTAGCAGCAATTAAGGCACTTCAGATAAAAAGAGAAAGAGGCCTGCTGAAAGAAAAGCTGGTTGAAAACACCTACTGAAAGCTACCAAATCAGCCAGCACATACTCTCCTGGTGCAGGCCACAGTGTGTCGCTACACAAATTCCCTGAGGTGGCGTGTACCATGTGATGCTGGGGTTACCTGACTTACTTTACTGAACACTGTAGTAAATGGTTGCACAAAATCCAGTGTAAATACCAGAGTACAAGCTACAGCTGCCCCTGAGGAGCTTTAATTTATGCACTATCCCATAAAACTCCCAGGGAGGGAAATGAGTCTGAATGCTTTCTTATTCCATAACCCCTTCGTGGTAAAGTATTCTGCACTGAATGTTTCCATTGTTCAATATAGACGGGGGAAATAAGATTAGCTTCAGATGGAATATCCCATTTTCTCATGCAGTATGTTCTCTAGCCAACTCAAGCTTGCTGGTCTGGCAGAATTCAGGGCTCTCCAAAGACGGTGATGTTTTGGAAGGCTGACAAAGTTAAGTTTGGTACAAACACATGCATTCCATGCCATACCCTACCCTCAGGTGTTATATGTAGGGCTAATGATCTGCCAGAGCATAAGAGAACAACGTATCAGAGCGGGTTTTGCCTAACAGCTGAATCATGGCTTTGAACCGTAGCTTTTCTTTTAACAGCATTAGCAACCCGGTTCCTTATTTCTCCTCCAACTAGTCAGTATAATAGGCAGCTGCAGATATTTTTCAAAGCTCACAAATGCCATGTGGCACACAGAATGATTAACTGCAATCATCACTCTGGAATCTTTAAGGAGGAAAAACACAGCTTAGAGAAAATGGATGCAAAGCCAATTCCTAACGTGGTCTGACACAGAGGGTAACTTGCAAAACATAACCCTTGACCCAAAAGTCAGGATTTAAAACACTGGTGGCTTACAGTTCCAGGCAGAGCAAGTGGTGTGGAAAGCCCTGAAGACAGCACAGCCAGTGTAACCACAGCACGTGAGAAGCGGGAGGGTACAGAAATGACCTACAGGAAATGTCTTAATCGTCTGTGCTCTGCAGAGTCAGCTCTCAGGAGTATTTCATGTGCCTGAGCAGGTGGGGAGATCCTACACCAACCAGACATATCCCTTCCACACTGTGCAAATGGAGGCACCTTCAGCTGAAGACATGCTCTTCTTCCATCCGACATACCACATTCAGATTTTGCTGATGTATGTATTGGTCAGAATGGCCACAGTGTAGATGAAGAAAATGCTGGCGGCATGGCAAAGTGGTAACGGTGAAAGTTGCTGCAGCAACAGCCAGCATATTACTGGGAGTGCAAGTTGGTGCTGGGAGAGCTGGAGAAGAAAGACCCAGTTGAGGTGGGGAGGGAGAAGAACCAGGCACGGCTGGGTCATGATCTTTCTTACCCAAGGGTAACTGCCTTCTCAAGCTGTTAGTTGAGGTTTTGAAGTCCTGTAGCTTACACAGAAGCAATCTCTAAGCCAGAATTGCTAGTGCAGGATTCAAAGCCTTGGTAGCTTACTACTTCTTTCCTTTGCAAAATAATCCAGGAAATGACACGCAAAATCCTCTGCCTCAATTGACTGTTACCTGGACTGTGAACTAAAGCACTGAAATGTTATTGCTGGGCTTGTGGTTTCTCATGCAGTCTTAACTTGGCCCCCTTGTCAGTAGTCCACCATGATGGCAGACTATCATGGATGGGTGTCTCTTGCTGTAAGGCCAAAGGAAATTTTTTCTGTCCAACTCCTGCCTCATTCAACATAAAGGACAATTGTTTAAATGGAGTCACCCAGATTCAGCTTCTAAGGACAAGCGCTCAAAATAACGCTTTGTATGTAATATATGATACAATGCACAAAAAATATTTCCTCCTGTATTTTTAGATGACTTCTGGGAATCAGAAATTAATTCTGTATACTCAGTATGATTGTTTAAATGTAACATAAAATGTAACAAACCTTACCTGATATGTAAAGTAATGCATGTTTTCTTATTTGCTGAACGTCTTTTTTCAGTGAAAAGCATGAATCTCTCTAATCACGTAACCTAACTGAATGTAGAAATCAATCCTGAAGATTGTGTGTCTACTTTGTTGCGTGTGTGGCCAGCATTTTACAGGGAGAAACAAATAATGAGTACTTGTGTTAACTTGGATGATGGAATGAATACCTTGGACAGAAGAATTTTTACATGAATCTCCACAGCACTAAAATTTCAGCAAACCTCCTTATAATGTGCACAACACTCTCCAGTTCCAAATGTAACCCTCAAGGAACACATACATAAATTATAGTATATCCACTGGGGAAACCTCTGAAATCCTACAAAAAAGGGGGAAATGCATTTTAGGGGGCAGTCTGCTCAACTGCCTGCTTTTAAATACAATTTCAAATCAGGAATAATTAATGGCTGAATTGTGGTTAGCGCTTAGATATTAAAAAGAGGAAAAAACAAAAACAATTTCTACATGCTTTCATTACTGTGTAGAGAATGGACAGGATTATCATTTGAAAACATCTGGTGAGCTTTTTCCTCTTAAACCTTTTGATTAAAGTACTTCTGTGCCTGGAATTCTAAGGAGTTTGACCAAAATAAAGATACCATCCAAACCTCTAATTCAGATATATTCACATACTGCTCACCTACTAAAATAATCAAGCTAAGATGTCCAAGGAAGACTAACATATCACTAAGGTAGAAAGTGTTGTCTCCTCTGGAATATTATGTTAAATGTTACTGAGATCAGGACACGTTCTGCACTCCATTGTGTGGAGTTGGATCCCCCAGGGTTGGGGGATCACAGGAAAAAGAGCTGTCTTTTCCAAAAATATTGGTCTAGCACTTGTGTGATAAAAATAGATCCAAGTAAATCTAACTTGATATTCCCCTGAACCACACACCTGCCCAACAGACAGCCCACAGACGACAGACTGCTCTTCACCATAGTCACGTGGCACTTAGACATCCGAGCAGGAGCTGCCTACACAGTGCATCACTCCTCTTCTGGCACCAGAGCTGCCCTGTCCAAGCACAGGGGGGCAGTCAAGCACTGGCAGTTTTAAGCAACCTGGTGAGAGCATAGCCTCTAGGCAAGGCAAGCTTCATAGCTGATGCATCGGTCCCCTCTAAACCACAGAAATGCAAGTGGCCAAAGACCAAAACTGTTTTTCAATGTTCTTCTCAATTTCCCTGCTTCTACCTCTGAGTGATTATCATCAATTCTGATTTGGCTGCTGCTTCTTTAGTGTTTAATGGATATAATCATGAGGACACTGGGAAGGTACATCATAGTCATTTTCTTCCCAAGTCATTTTATTGGCTCCGTTCAGAATCTGTTTGCAAATACAACAGCTCCTGCCACTTCGAAGCAGACGCAGCCTCTTTGCAAAAATGGGAAAATGCAGTCTCCAGGGAAAGTAATCAATTCACTGGCAGAGTGAAAGTATTTAGTGGGTTCAATAACTCCATGTAAGGGACCAGCTGTGCCAGCAGGTAGCAGCACACAGGCAGCACTCACCTCGTGGAGGTCGCAGCTCAGTGATGTTCTCGGTGACTTCATCATCCGAATCTTCAGTTGCTACCACCTTGTACCTGTTGCTGCTCTGTTTGTTCAGTACATGCGGGACCTGCAGCGCAGCCTCTCTCTCTGCAGCCAGATCCAAATCCTGCTGAGCAAGGTGGGCCCTCAGCTGCCTGATTTCAAACTTGAGGAAAAAACAACATCACATACTGATGTCATATAAGCACGGTCAGAAGTCTATATTCTACAGTCGGGGACCTATTGCTCATTTTATCACTAAACCACTACAAACTGGTGACAGTAAATACAATGTGGTTGAGCCAGGATGCGATTCCAAGCTGCTGATGCTCTCCCAGAGCCCACGTGAGCTGGACCATTGTCCACATAATCTAGAAATAATGAATGCCTCATGCTGGTCTTCTATTTTGTACATGTCTGCATCCTGAAGATATGATTTTGGACAATTTTTAACAGATCTAACTGCCAAATCAAATGAAATCTTTATAGAAGACCACTCTTAACAGGCATCTAGGGATTTACGTTCATGACAAACATCCCTAATCTCCTAGACTTTGTAATGAGGATTTCTATGGAGGGAGGTTCTCTAAGCAGCATCCAGAATGGTCCTCCCCCACTAACTGGGCAACGGGGAGGGACACCACAGTCTTCTTCCAGCTTGAAATCTTCTGCACTCAACAGTGTGCAGAAAACCCTAACCCCTAACCCTAACCTAAAAGGTTGCCACTTTTCTGGCCACTCCCCTCAAATATATGAGCCATGGCAGTTAATGACTTTCTGCAGTCAGGAGGGTATTTGCCTCGTGACTGGTGCTATAAAGCAGACACTGACAAAAAGACAGAAGCTACCAGGTACAATCTGATCGATGGACACAACATATTTCTCTTGTGTTTGACAGCCATAGGTCTTCCACAACGCAAGAAGGAAAATAATTTTTCTGGAGAGCCTGCAGAGACCCTTTAAGCCCTTAGATAGGCACTGCAAGATCCCACTGTCCTTCCCTTCTGCCATCCAGAACAGCTATGGGGCTGCGTGGCAGAGGGTTTCTTTATTTTAAACTCTTTCTAAGATCAGTAGTAGTACAGCAGCGACCAAGTCATGTCCAATTATAGAGAGTCTGAGAGGGAAAAGCAAATGAGGCGAGTAATAGGCTAAGGCATTTAAAATTTAGCATTGCTGGGCCTCCTATAGTTCAAGGCTTGAAAAGCCATCGGAAAGCATAATGCTACGGCAAGCCACACTGCACCTGTCACTCCGCATTTACAGCAGAGATGGAATTAGCACCTCAAAGCTTCAAAACTGGTGTGCAACAGCATGTAGGCTAAATGAATCTGGTTCTGTCTCTTGCCTCTCAGATGCTGACTCAAATTACTTCGCTGTCAGATTTTGGAATCCATCAGTGGACCTAGTTCGTTCCACCGCGGTCCACATCAGACATGGCACAAACCCCAGGCACGCCGCAGAGCACCAGCAGTTCCTCCAAGCTGTGTAAGCGACTGAAGGGGAAACAAGACAGAGTTTCCGCAGATTTTAGAAAGAAAAAAAGAGGAAAGAAAAAGGGATTTTAGTTTGCCACATCTGGAGACTATCTGGTTTCCAGAGCATATGGGAAGGAGCTACAATAACCGGAAGGCCCACTGCAAGACTCAAATCTAGAGAGCAAAAGGGCAGTTTAAGCTTTCCAGATCACATTCAAACCACCTAATATAGGGATCTAACAAAGCACACAGCTTTTTCTCCGTCTTGAAATCAGCGGACAGAGGTTTGGCAGCTGCAGACAGCTGGCTGCATGAAATGCTCACTGCTTTTAACCAAAGGTCCTCTGGTAATGGCAGTCAGAGGAGTCAGGTAGTATCAGCAATTATCAAAATACAGCCCTGCTCCTTGATTCCTTCAATGAAACCTCCATGGCAGATCCCAGACGGTGTTTTTTGTGTTAACCTATCAGCTAGGAAGAAGTAGCAAACTGGTAGTGCTAACTCTTTTCCCAGCCAGCCCTAAGCTTCCTGAGGCTTAAGGTGCCCATGCCATACCCGGGGTGTCAGTATGAATGTGTCATTGAGCTGTGAAAGGACTGTCTGGAGTTCAACTTTACGCTACAGAGAATTTCAGGTTTTATCCTTGACTTGAAAAAAAAAAAGAAATCCCAAAATATCTTACATTTCACCTTTAAAGGGAGGAAGATGCCCTTGGCAGGGCAGAAGACACTGCCTTGGTTTAAAGGAAGAAATGCACTCAAACGTGATAGGCAAAAAATAAATCTGGAGATTTTTTTTTTTTCAATTATTGCCTAACCATATCTATTTGCCTAGCTCAACTAAAAAGCAATTAGAATTAGGCATCATTACTGTTTTTTCTACATTTCACATTTCATCCTTCAAAAACATTCCTGTGTGTCAGAAAAAGAAATATTGCCACTAAAATGCTTAATTCTGGCCTAGAGGCAGAATATAATTTCTTTTTCATGGAAGAGAAAAAAATTGGCAGGTATTTCATAACACACATAGATAAAGCTACCTAAAAGTCAGCTCAACAATTGTATTTCTGTATCACACCCAATTTAACCAGCTTAAGCATTTACAAAGATTGGCTGAACCTTGTAACAATCAAAAGCTTGAAGGGAATCACTGCATTTTACAGATGTGAAAAAGGAAGCACATTAGGTGATCTTTCCTGCTACATTGAACCTACAGCAAATATGGGGGAAGAGACCAGACTTTCTGATGTCCACTTACATGTTCCAATTAATAAAGCAAGCGTTTCCAAATATCCACAGATTATTGTCAATCTTTAAAACTTCCATGCCCAGTCACCATCCAGTTTTTAATAGATGAGTTCATAAATGTTATTGTTTAATACGGCTCTGCCAACAAGCTATGAACTACTCAGCCTGGCATGCTGGATCAAGTAGCAGCCTGCAACCATTGCTGGGATCACCACGCTGGACAACTACACTTTGCCCAAACAATTATTTATTTCCTATTTATATGAGAAAAATTACTACCTTGGTTGAACCCAACCACACAGACAGCATGAGAAACTGGAATCCACAGAAAAAACGACTACCATGGTTATTCAGGTGAACAGCTACTACTGCTGGTAATGTCAAAAACGGAAGGGGCTTTGCTGCCATCTTATGTTTGAAAGACAGAAATACATGCTTGTGCCTACAGCAGCAAAGGAAGCACTTGCTTATGAAGACTGCACAAATGTCACATTCTAGCAGAAACTGAAACCTAGACCCAATGTCTTGGCTCATGCAACACTGCCCTCCTCCACTGCCTGAGGATGAGAAGCACGTGCAGGATTTGCAACTTCTAAAGTGATATGTGAACCCTCTTTTATTGCCAGCTGCAAGCACAATCCACATGCTTGTATTATTTTCATCCTTAACACTGGTCTAAAATCCAGAATTGAACATGAGACTGTCAAGAGCAGATATGAGAATTGAATTCCTAGGCACAGTAAAGCAGCACAGTGTTCTGGACTTCAACATCGTGTGCAAGGTGAGTAATAGCACACAGAGATGTTCAGAAAGATAACAGCAGAAATTGGTATTGCCTACAAAACCACACAGCTGCAGCTGGTTAACACAGGCTCTCCCTTCCACTTTTCCATTACCTCAGATGGTCAGCTTCCAGGTCCCATTCATGTTTGCCTTGACATCTATGTAGTCATTAAAACAGTGGAACGCTAGAGTTAAATACTGGTGTGTGTGCAACTGTCATTTTTTTATTGACAGAGAAGAGGGTAGTCATTGTAATAATGGTGTTTGTCTCATGCCCACATCCACTGTTACTGATGCAAAGTGATCCATACAATGTGTTCCACAGAGATGCAGAACCATAACTCTGTTACAGACACAGAGAATAAGACAGAGCCAAAACTCAACTCAGTATACTGCTTCCAAATGCAAACCCAAACTCTCTAAGTCTCTAGCATGTTCAAAAAGGGACTGGGTGGGATGGAAAATCACCATTTATCAAAGGACATTCAATAAAATATCTAGGAGAAGTTAAACAAGAAACAAAGATTTTTGGTTACAAAAGGCATGCATCTACTCAGGAGATCAGTTCAATATTAATTGTTTCCAATTGTTACTAAAAAATTATCCCAAGATACTGTAAAAGCTGGAATACAGTTTTGGCCACTAAAAGCAACCCATTAAAAACAAAGGTTAAGTCTAAGAGAAGTGGGTGTTCCTTACAGGCGTAATTCAATGAGAGACTGCGTGAACAAATTATGTCGTAGGTGCTTGTATCTATTGAACATTATATTGAACACTGACCTCGGGCAGTTCTAATGTGTAAAAGAGCTAATGAGATTGCTCTGACTGCATGTCATGCAGTCCAGGGCGGGTTAAATAAATCATTAAAAGGTATAAAATATAATGGTCTTTTTAAGTAAAAATTCTGGGCCAAGTTAAACACATGAAATTTCTATTTGCAGTAGGAGCTGATGTAGCTATCTGTAGACTTGGGTGTCTCCAATACAGAGTACTGCAGGAAAGCCGTACAGAGAAAACCATGTTTTGCATTTTCAGGTAGACCATCCTTCCTTCAGCTTGTAAGGAAGGATGCATATTATGCATATTGTGAGGAAAAAAAGAAAAAAAAAGCATACAAACTTATACACATACTTTGATTTGTTTAAATTAAGACTTACTCACAAGTATCAGCTCTGTGTTAAAAATCTTGTAAATCCCACAGAGATCCAGTAGGCAAATAATGCTGTCATGTGGAAGATAACTTGTTGTGATCACGGAGACTAAAGTAACCCATCTCCTGACTCAAGATAATTACAAACTGAGCACTGGTCCACTTGAGACTGCTACTGACATTATTTACCAGGACACCTCTGATATTCATTATCTTTAATTACATATACTTTGGTAGTTTCTGGTGGGTTCTTTTATCAGTAAGTTCCTAAGATACTTTGCAATGGGAAAAATGTATTTGAAAACTTCATAGAATCACAGCATAATCTAGGCTGAAATGGACCTGTGAAGGTCATCTAGTCCAACACCCTGCTTAAAGCAAGTCCATTTACCTCAGGTTGCTAAAAGCCTGTCCTGTCAAGTTTTGAGTATCTCCAAGGTTGCATATACCACAACCTCCCTGGCAATCTGCTCCAGTGCCTGGACATTCTCCTAGTAAAAATGTTTGTCCTTATATTTAATAGGAATTTTGCACATTCCAGCTTGTGTACTGTCACTGTGAACCGCTGAGGAGAGCCTGGCTACACCCTCCCATGAAGGAGCTGAAGACAGTAATAAAGGTGTAATACACTTGGCTAATGTGGAAATACACTTACTACCAAGAAAAGGGGAGATACAGACTCTCTCACATAAGAATGAGTAACTAGGTTGTCAGGCATGAAGGGAAAGTTCATTGATGGTAAATTTAAATTTACTTAGTGTTTTCAAAATTTGTTACATGTCCTCTTGTACCACAAACTTAGCAATATTTTGGCAGGAAACAAACCAGAAAGAATTATGGGGCACACGTGTGCACTTCCTCACTTAAAGAATGCATTAGGTGATTATTTATAAGCAGGTAAAATGACAGAGACCTACCCAGAGCTCCAGATAACATCTCAGTTTACATGCCTGGTTTTATAAAATGTGCCACCCATCCTATCTGATGTTTTACAACATGCATATAAGACCCAAAAAGGGACAAACTTAGCAGTGAATCATATAGTACTTCTCTTTAATGGTCTAGCAACAGAGTATGATTGACATCGTTTCAGAGAGATCAATGAAATTTTAGCCAGAAGCTTATTCGTGTCTAATGCAGGAGCAATAACTTTGCTCAATTCTATTAGTGCTGTCCGTACAGAATGCCCTGCCCTAAAGCTCATCTGCCACTGGGATACAATCCAATGTTTATTTCCATTAGTTTAGCCATTGTTGGTAACAATAAAAATCAGGAGACAGTTGCAAACTAAAGATTTATAGGCAGAATGAAACACGGGATGACCTTGGCTCCCTTCCATTCACCAAGAAAATGACTGGTAGTTAGAAATAAATTAAAATTATTGCAAAAGGATAACATAAGTTATTTCTTCGATAGGTAATTTTACCAGCTAAATAGCCCTGTCATTAAACTAGCAGCTGTTGTACAAATTATATTCCAAGATAAAAGAGAAATTATAGCTTCCATAGTTGTTGCAGCTTTGAGAATGATGAAAAACCCAATTCTACAGGAGCCGACAGAAAAGGAACTCTTATGATAAGCCTGAATACATAGTCTTGGCTGGACTGTGCTCAGCAGAATGACTCTTATGAAAGTTAAGCAGAAAGGATCATGTAAGTAGATCTATTATCAGAAACGGAAATTCCTTTACAGGTGATTCCAGAGGAAAAAAGCAATCTTCCCTGACTGGAATTTGCATTGTTAATGAAACTTTGGAACTTTGTTTTGCAATTTAAGTGAAGTTATTCTGATAAAACAATACCATCAGCAATATATTCTGTTCATATTTTTGATAGTAATTGCAACGAGACTTTTTTACCTTTTACCTTTACCCATTTTTAAAAATCCCTGTTACTGTGATTGTTTTTCATGTTTTGTGAAGTCCTGTACAGCCATCTCAGCCCTTTCAGTATTTTCTGCCTTGACTGCCCTCATGCTCCACTCCCTTTTAATGACTTCTTTCTTGGCCAATGGAGAATAAATAAAACAGCAAACTATTCAAACAGTTTCAGTGGGGTACTACAGAGAACAAAGTGGTGGTCCATGCAACTATAATGTATAAAATATACTCTGGTTTTCAGATGTACAGCTAGCCAAAAATCACATCTGGAAAGAGTTTTCGTGTTTGCAAAAGTACGTCTCCAACGTCATTCAGGAATGGAAATGTACTTTATAGTTGTGATACCCTATCACTGGCCAAAAAAATATACAACTGACAAAAGAAACAGAATTCAAAAAGTAAGATGAAGGGAGGTTGCATCTTTCCTGCTTTTATTTTTTTAAAGCAGGAACTCCATTTTTGCCTGTCAAGTGTTAAATACCAGCTTCAAAACAGGAGGGCATGGGACTTCCCAGAGAACTGGCCACCAACTATTTTTGTTTTAAATCCCAAACAAAGCAGGCTTTTTTTTTTCCCCAATTCCTGTCCAGAAATAATGAATATTTTGTCTGAAACTTTCAAAATAATTTCACCTGCAGAAGATGCCAGACCTTGAGAATGTCAATCCCAATTGCCTGACAAGTGGCAAAGCAGTAAGAAACTGAACGCAGGATCTCAGAAAAGGAAGTGCTGGGAAATCTTTCTAACAGGAATGTTTTCAGCCCTGTCTATAATTAGTAAATAAATGGAAATCATCAGTGTGGTCACAAAGATGCAGCCTCAGGATGAATCAGTATCTATATACACTGCTGGGATGTAGGCAACCATGGTGGCTTGCCCATTCTTCCTACTTGGGCTGGCACTGGTGTGCCCCAGCATGTATCTGAGGCAACAGCTCAACCCCTATGGGCAGCTCCCAGCTATCCCATCTGTCCGTGCCAGAGGTGGTACCACCCAGACAAGGCGAAGTGTAATCCTTCCCTGCCGGCGCTCCAGATTTGAGACAGTCAGACTACTGTAGGCAACCCTTCACTCAAAAACAGAGACATGCACATTTAAGCTCCATGAACGAGCAATCCTTTAAAAAGGTCAGGAAAGATGATCAAATGAAAAAGCAAAAACCTGGCAGAATTTTAGACATTAAATACCATTAGGAGACCTTTTCCCCACCAAATACTGTACACAATGTTAATGTGAATATTATAACACTGACAACTTGTTCTTGACTGAATTATGAAGCTATTAATTTACAAAGGAAGGATGCAGTACTTGTGTCAATGTCTTATGTTGCTAACTGTAGCAAATTAGTACATTTACCTCATATTATACAGCTGAGACATTTGTTTGGCAGGAAGTCAGGACAGTGAAATAAGAGGGATTAGTATGCTGTCATTTTTCTATAGTCCATATTTTTCCATAGCTGGTGACACTTGAAAGCTAGGAGAGAACATGCTTTGTTTTCATAGATTTACTCATCTACCAATGCAGTATTTCTTTGTGCTTGATGTACAGTTGTGCTGTAACCATCAGAGCTCAGATTCGGGCTACTATGCTCAGACACTTTGCAAGCCAGGCATGCAGATAAGGAGTACATATATCAGAACGGAGAGTGGCAAGAGCTGCTCCTGAACCCCACCTGGGATTATAAGCCCAACTTTACTCAAAGACTATGAAATAATAACACAAAAAATTGTTTAGAGTTTGAGTGTTATCTGGCTGCATAATACATTTCCTAAAAATGAATGTTTTCAAATTTATGATTGTCAAGAACTTTAGCCTAATAGCATGGTCTGACAGACAAAATACTGCAACAGGACTCAAGAAATCACTGATTTGCCTAATGCGTTTGGTCAAAGGATAATCTCTCCCCTTTAAAATGGGGTATATAACATTTCCCTGTTCATTTCACAACTATGACAGAAGCATTAATCACTTAATATCATTGTGCAAAGTTGTGATGAAGAGGACTGCAGTTTTGCCAGTGAAGATACTTACATAGGTGGAAGTAACTAATTTTTGGCAAAAGTCAAGCCTAAGGTTTAGAAACTTGTTATGGTTAACATGAGAGACTGTCAAAAACAGTGTTATGAAATGACACACACTGTCAACAGGTCTTCCAAATTGATCACACAGACAAAGCAACCTAACACCACCAAAAGTTCATTGCAGAATCCTAGCTTGAGATCCAGGAGACCTGAAACTAAATCTAAAAAGCCATTTGGGGACCTAAATGCTGCTGGTTTCACAACTATTTTATGTTCCTTGGTAAAAGATGGACATCTAAATCCCTGCTTCAGATTCTGCACCTTTTGGGTAGTTGGTCTGGTCTGGGACAAGTTGCTTCTCCTCCTGTCTGCTCAGGTCCTTCGACTTTTTGAGTGACTGAGCCATTCAGACTTACAGGTCTCCTCATTTTGTATTTGAAAAGCACCTACTACAAGTGGGGAGTTGAAGCTAGAAATCTCCAGACTTTATTTGGACACCTCATAGTTACCTTTAAACTGAAACAAGAATTAAGTCACTTGGGGGATCATTCCGTTGCGGTTTGAATGTCACCTGAATGCCCCACATAGCCTGGGCCTCAACACACATCCCCGGTTTCTACTTTAAAGCAGGTTATTCAAGAACTCATTTGCATGAGACAAACTTGCAAAAACTCCTGGCTCATTGCCCAATCAGTGGTTTTACACCTTTTTCATGTAAATATATTCATTTGAGATATTTTAAGCTTCACCTTCCCTTACTTCAAGACTGAGTCACTGAACATTTGGGAGCCTGGGAAGAGTCTTAAATCTTTACTTGCTTCCAGCAACTATTAGCTTTTATTGCAACACTTTGAGTCTGCCAAAGGAGTCTCTGACTGACCTACAGGGAAGCTGCCTTCTGCATGTAAAGCAGGGAGATTCATCAGCTTTCAACAGCATATACTTTTCCTAGGAATACAGCCTTAATATAGCTGCAGCCTCCAACAACGGCAATGACTTTTGCATGTTCTTAGTATTATGTCAAGCTATCTGTACTCATTCAATAAATTACGTACTGGAAGCATTCTTTTTCTATTCTTCACATTTGTTTTCCTCTGCTTAAAAAACACAAGCACAGCAGCAGAGGGAGACAACTGCTGTTTGACAAATAGCAAGCTGACAACATCCTGGCTGCAGCTAATCCTTAACACTGAGACCTGTCACCTTACAACAGAAGTCCTAGTGATACTTCTCAAACCTTAGCTTGCAGCAAAGTACATAAACTGTTTCATTTGCCATGACAAGCTATGCATAAAGACAGACATAGCTGAACTTTACCCCTTGTTCTTGGCAGATCTGGGTTAGTCTTTCCAGCTGTTCATCTTGAATAACCTTTGCCTTCTCATATTGCTGAATCATCATCTCCATCTCCACTTTCACTGGAAGGACATAAGCTGGAAAACACAAACAAGCACTTAAAGTAACCCAGCTGTGATTTGTTTTTTTATCAAAAGGAAAACCTTTACAGACCTTTACAGGCCAAAGAATGTCACCCTCTTCACTTGCATCTAGAGAACTACAGTATTTCTTATAGAAATAGCACTAGAGTATTTCTTCTGGGGAAGGATTTCTAACATGTGAAATGCAGGTCATCGGCAGGGTCTAGATACTGTTTGGTCAGATCTCCATTTGCCTGGCTGAGCTGAAATGCATCCTGCATGCTCTTCCTAGCTTCTGCTCCTCTAATACAGATCTTTTCCAGTGTTTACCACAGATTTCCTGAATTGCTGGGTAGGAGGATTTTCTGCTTAGAGTTAGGCCCATCCCTTCTAAACCTGAACAGCATGGCTCCCTTAGGAGAAGAACTATTCCAGAGCCCTAAGCATTTAATTCCTAGACTTTGTGGTAAGAAATAAGTCCTTAATGGAAATAGCAGACTAAGAAGGATATTTTAAAAAACAAAAAGGCATTTATCTTCTATTGCTTTTCAAGCTACAGCCCAGTTTTCAATAGGTCTTCTGAACGCCTCTGGAAATTTTGCTCCTGTCATAACTATGGCAAACTCAGACCTATCAGCAAAGCTGTTCAATGCATATTGCAATTCTTGATGTTTTCTGAAGCTACACAAGATCCTGAACTTTTCTTGTACACTTCAGTCGGAGGGCTACGACCTTTCCTCAAATCTGAATACAGAGTTTCCTGGGCACCTAAACCCCAAACAACAACTTGACTCTGATCTTTCACACATGAGCAAAGTGACCCTTCATTTATTCCTTTCTTACCTCTTTTCCCTGTAACCTGAAATGCCTGAAACCACTGAACACAAAGTAGCCTACACTAAAGTCCCTGCTTTTGGCACAGTCACCGGTTCTGCTCTCTGTAACTTTGACTTGCTGGGGCTTTCTTATCACCCTTGGTGCTTCCCCACAGAGGTCTGTGCAAAACAGTACCGATACATGCTTCGTTATTATGCTGTACAACACACCAGCATTGCAGAGAGCATCTTCAGCATGGGACCCCCACAGTAAGAAAATGCTCCTGGAATCTGACATAAAAATTGTATTACAGACAAGAACTTGGAAAAGAAAGCCCCAAGACAGAGCTAGCTGTATGGAAATGGGGAGGGCGCAGCAAATATCAGAAAAGCAGATTGGAAGCCATTATTTTGCAGAATCAGGAATGACATCTGGTGGCAAGAGACAGGAAGCAGGTCAGGGCATTTACTTTACAGGATAGGGGATGTGAAGGTACCTAACAGAAAAACAAACCGATCAATTATAAGGGCTCATAGGGAACAGGAGATACAGCCATGAACTTGAGACCTACTCTCCTCCATGGGAGTCATAACTCTCTTCTGTTCAGTGCTTTTAAAATGTAAGAGGAAGGAGAACAATAGAAACAGTGGTGGCAAGCAATCTTTCAATACTTTTAAAATCTCTTTTTTCCCAGGCTGCCAGGTAATTCTTGGAGTCACAAACTGAATCACCACTCACCATCAATGATCCTCTTCACTCTCCATATTCGTAGTGTGATAATAAGGCTGATAGCATCCCATGGGCTGCTGGGGCCGTTAGCCACTGTTGAGGCCACCATTGGTGCCAAGGACAAGATTATGACAGCACCATCAAACACCTAGAGAGAAATCAGTTTTTTCAAATCCTTCCTAAAGATCATAACACCCTGCTATTCCTGCTTGGGGTCTTGAAGGGCTCCCACTTTGCCCAAAAGAAATGCAATTATGGTACATATTTGGGATATAAAGGGATATAAGAGGTGGCCAAGCCCCAGAAAGGCTGCATCCTTTTTAGGTAGCACAACAGAATTCCTTGGTGCATTTTATGAGGTGAGGAGAGATAAACTGTGGTGGGATGGCAGGGAGAGAGAAAGGTATTTGGAAATGCTGGCCAAAATCCCCAAGCAGAAGTGATAGCCTAAATGCTATTACAGCCAAAGAGTTTTATTATCATTGGTATTTATTACCTGTTACTTGGCATAATGCCATCCCAAAAAAGGATACAGTCCCTGCCCATAGATCTTACTGTCTAAATGAAGAGATCAAGACGACAAACAGAAAAAGATGGAGCAAAGAGGCTTGATGGCCCTTGGCCACGTCCTGACTACACAATGTGTGTCGGAAAAGCCGTGCATCAAGACAGAAAGACTCCCTGCTCTCACCTTTATTGGGCAGCTAGGTTTTCAAGGATTTTGACAACTGGGACTACTCAAAATGATTTGTATGACATTGTTGCACTGTGAATTAGATCAGAAAAGGCAATTGTGCAAAGTATTAGACAGAAATGCACGAGTAAATACATTTCAGAGCAAACTGGCAAGTGTTGTGTCTGTCCTACACTCGCCTAGCAGGGTAGAACAGAATACCATGTTCTCATTCCTACTGAGACCATTCCCAGCTGCCAAAGACCATGGATTAATGGTTTGCCTAAGGAGGTAGGACATAGATTTTATAAGCACCACACATTCAGAATTGTGCATAACAATTCAGTGTATTGAAAAGAAACAGTTATTACTGCCACCATTTGATGGGCAGTGAACAATATCACTCCATTTCAATTTACCAAAATAAATTATCAGAAACTGCTGCATTTAGCCTCAATAATAAGAGTCTCTGGATCAATAATTTAAGTTCCACTTCAGTTTTTTAGCAAAACAAGTTAAAAGGTTTACAACTTTATTACAAAAACGTGCAAGCCTCTAGACTCACTTAAGCTCCGAGAAAACCTGGATTTTCTTCTGGTGCATCCTGTGCAGTATTAGTTTATCAGAGAGTATCGAGAAAGAGCTTTTAATTTCCCTGATCTCCAGATTTCTGCTCAGATTGGGATTATGTGGCACTTACAATACATGCATTTCTTTATCTGCCTCTGCAACAGTATATACATTCTACCTTATTTTTAATTTGAGGTACAAATTACAGTGTTTATCATAATTTAATTAAAAAATAATTTCACAATAAAATTGGGGGTTTTGCCAAACCACTATTTTCTATCAGAAAACTGCACACAATTTTTCAACCAGTTCTAATTTCAACTTGATTACGGGAATGGGATTAAACAAGTCACATGACAATTTTTACCCATATTGCTCATTATCTCAGGGTATCAGTATCAACAGGTAGACTAACACAGCTCTAACAACAAAATAAATAGACACATACAGCAAAAACCCCACTCCCTTCTTTAATAAAATATTTCCAAATATTGCACTGAGTCTCTCACAGAAAAAGAGACTGCATCATACAGCTATGTATACATTCATATAATGAGAAGAATGTGCATATTTATCTGAGTTAAAAGATATTGTATTGCACCAGGTCTATAACAAATCCACCCAAAGCAGTTCTTAATATTCTTACTGTGTCTGCCTGGAAAACAGTACGAAGAGTAAGAGTGCTTACCTCTATTTTGTTTTCAATGTAATCCCATACGCCGAGGACCACAATCCTCAAAATAGTCTAGTAAAATAGATTAGGGGGAAAAAAAGATGATGAATGTTATTGTAATTTTAGATAAACATTTTGTCCTTTATCTATTTAGGGGATCATTTTTTGTCTAATTTAAGCATTATGCATTTCTTCTGAATAATAATGAGGATCTAGAAATAGCTACACCTCTGTATTATAAAAGCAGGTATTGCTTTCCAACCACTACATTGACTCAGTGAAACTTCCATAAACAAGTTCCAAGTTCAAATGTTCATCAGTCTTTCCATCCTCCTAAAATTTTTCTTTTAGACTTGTGAGATTTAGATCACCAACCCTCCCCACCCCAGCCCCCTGACCCAAGCCCATATAAGATCCACTGTGGGGCCCCCTCAGTCGGAATGGGGGAAGATTCTCTTTCCTTGCCATCTTAGGTAAGCCAGTGCTTACTATTTTCTAAGAAAAGAAAAGAGGCACTGCCCCCTCTTGATGCCTAAAGATACTGACATTTCATCAATCTGAAGAGCAGAGCTCTTATTCTCCCCCTCTGGAGTACAGGGCTGCTATCTTACTATAAAATCCCAGAAAGTCATAGGATAAGGGAGAAAAATATCTCTGTGATCGTCCTCTATTAAGCAAAACAACTGTAAGTAGCATCAGTAGGTAGAAAAAAGGAATAAAGAAAGAACACAGAATGAACCAATGGTGAATTCCCATTAAAAAAAAATCCAACGGCATCTTTCTTAATTTTTAACCTGACTTTCAGAAGACGCAATAAAAAAAAATAAAAACCAATCAACCAACTCATGATTGAAATTGAATTCACATAAAAGCGTAACTGGTAGGGATGTTTTCTGCCAATAGCAACATCAAGGTCAGATTTTGACAGACACTATGGACAGGAAGAGTCTAACTGCAGCTGTGTGCCTTGCAAAGATCAAAATGCTACTTTCTCCATTAAAGAACAGTACTAATGACAGAGAGCTCGGCAGGCCTATGTGTGAGGGGTGACCATGCCAAGAACTGTGCAGAAAAAAGTAAGTGACTGAGATGAATACATGTATCTCCTCTTCATTACAAATACAAATATACTAAAACCCAACCAACTTTGAATTTATGCCAAACATACCAGCACTAACTAATTGCAGAACAACACTGGATTTTTCAGTACTTGTTCCTATGCGTGGTTTTGCCAAACCCCGTGAGCCCAATTGCCTCACTTGGCCCGGGATGACTGTGCTGAGCTCTATGTTGGCACTCCAAACCTGGATAACAGCACTTAATCCTGTTTTGCAGAGGGAGACATTGCCATGGGAGATATGGTGTTTTCAGAGCCCAGACTCATACCATCAATGAGCAGGAAAAGCTCTGAGTAAGCCAATGCTTACTCAGAAATGGCGTATGTGAAGCATTGGCCAAGTCTGGCTGAGAAGGGGAGTTGCTAGCCAGAAGGGAAAATGGCAGCGCGCTCTTTCCTCTACAAAAAATTATTATACTCTATGTAGACACCAAGAACTGCTAATGCTGCTGGTCTGTAGTCCTAAAAAGGACATTTTACTTCCAAACATTTTACAAATGCAGCATAGGAATAAGGCTATTCACAGCAATTTCCTTATTAACCTATATGCTCAAGGTTTATATGTGGAGGAAGAGATGCACAACAGCAGCTCCTCAAATCCCTTAATGACTCCAAACTCACCAGCATGATGTGATATGATGTGATGTAAGCGCAAGGTGTAAGTACAGATGCTGCTGTACAACCAAGGCACTCCTGCAGCCTCAACTCAGGCCCTGAGCAGAACACTTTCAGACAAAAGCATCCCAGCTCCTCTGTAAGCACCTCCCTCACCCCTCATTGGGAAGCTGCACAAAATGCTTAAGTACAAGTTACTCATGAGCCCATAGGTTCAGCTATATAAGTCAACCTGCGGTCCACCACAGCAAGTTCCACAGCAGGCAACCATTGGGAAATGAGGAAAAGCAGTGCCTTCTTTAAAATCTGGGATGCTACCCTTCCTACAGCAACCCTGTTGACAGCATAGAGAAATCTGGCTCATTTTCTTCTATGCTTAGGCAGCATTTATGAAGTGCTAGGTCAATGAGCAACTAAAGGACGGCCGAACACTTAACATGTTTACAGTAACTGACGGGGAAAATCTTTCTTCCTTTGGACAGGTGTGTACAAAGGTATTTTCACTTAAATAATAAGGCATAAAGAAAATAGAAACACTGTCTCACAGCCCCAAATTTGATTTAACATGGGGCAGTTGAGGGAGCATAAAAAAGGATTTTCCTTTTTGCCTTTTCAGTTCCTCACTGCAGTGTTTAAATCAGACTGTGCTACTGTCATATTAATGGATCTGAGCAGTTCCACGGTCTGGAAGCTAGCACAAATGTTTTCATTTTCAGTCTGCTGGTGTGAATCAGCACAAGTCAGCAATGATTGGAAGTCTAGTCGGCAGACATTTAATGCCGTAATGGTGCTACCTCTAGAAGATAGGTCTCTTCCTCACAAAAAATGCCTTAATGATTAGCATCTTTGCTCTCAGCTAGAGCAGACACACTGTAGGAAGGGAGAGCGTGAGGGCAGAATGAACCCAGCTCCCCATCTGAGAGATGCACTCTTCAGAACAAACAGGGCACAACTGAGGGTTAAGCTTTAAAAACATTTGTTCTGTATGGAAGGTCTTAAAGCTATGCACCAGCACTACCTGCCAGCTTGTCACTCTTAACAAAAAAACCCACATCACCACTGAAGTTACAAAAGCCATGTAAGGCAGCTTTTCCTTGGTGCCCTGGGGGAACCGGGCGCCCCAAGAAAGTACCATGGGTGAATCACAGACTGCATGCATCTGGAGACACAGGTGCCGTACACTTACTGCTCACTGGCCAGTCTTCACTAGTGGCAACTCCAAACTAGGTTTAGCTTTCTCTACTCTCCCTCTGTTGGTACAAAGCACGAGATCACATCCCCACTGCTGCTGCCATAACTCTTACCCAGAGGAGTCTGTACCAAACAAATTTAGACTTCACTGGGCAAATCTCCCTGACTGTTCAATATAATAAACACTTTGACTGAACTGAAAGCATTGGTGTTACTTATAAACAACGTTTTAGTATTTTTCCTAAGCAATCAAAAATATCTTTCAAACAAATACATATTGCATTTGTGTACTTTCTCTGAACAGAACTTAAAAAAATGAGAACCTGTAGCAGAATCTGAAAAAAACAGACAAATTAATAATCCAAGAAACTTCCTACGCACTGTGCATGGACCAAACTGAAAAATGCATATGAATTAAAAGAGAACTGCAACCGTAACTTTCATCAAAGACAAAACATAAATGTTAGTCATGACTCTACCATTTGTAGACACAAGAATCTACAAGAAATAGGGAAAAAATGGAGCAACGCTGCTGTTTCCTACTGATGTGCAGGCATCTTTCAGCACTGTAGCAAATGCACACACATAGTTTTGCATTACACTACAGGCATTCTGCATTTTTGGAAACATAGATTTGAAAGCAAACATTAAATACCAGTGTGAGTACTTTTCTGTTAAAGGCCACCGCCAGCTTGGTTTTTTGTACTTGAAAAAGAATGCTTTAACTTTTCTTGACTGGAAATCTTTTATTTAGAAAGTCCTTAACATATATATTTTTTTAGTTACAGTAGAAATACATTTTTTGTTTTCTGAGAAAAGCTAAATTATTACATAAAAGTCTGTCCAGTGCACTAATAAAAGGTAAATGACTGAACACTTCTGTTAACTTCTTTAAGTTCAAGTAAAGCCTGATAAAAGTAAAATTTTAAACCATTTTTCAGACAGAAATGTAATTTCAAAGTTGACAGTGTCCCTTGGTGACACAGAGTTGTTTGCCCAACATTAACTGTCTGCTGCAGTGAAGTTTATGAAGAACTGTGTGATGCTGCGGGTTTTCTCTCTAATTTAGTAGGGAAACCTGGCCAAGTCCTTTGCTGAGCCAGCCGTGTGAATTCCCACAATCTGCATGAGCTAGCTACATTTGTCAGCTGACTGCAATGTACATTAGGTAATTTTAAATAGTTTTTTGCTTGCACAGTTAATACACAATTTACTACTCAGTGACTCACTGTGCCAAATTCATCCGCAGTGTAAAGAAATCAAAAGGAGGCAGCCCGGGAGGTGAAGCTGGTCCACCAGGTTTAGCTAACAGCAAAGGAGAGCAACTCTGCATTTCGAGAAGGGATAGTGATTGTACAAGAGAGAGACAGGATGGAGTGGGGTGGAAAGGGTGTCTTTAGAAGAGCGCTTCCTTCCACTGCCACAAAACTATCTGTTACAGAGGGTCTTTACCTCTGGCTTGTACAGAAGCTCTGAAGATTAAGCTTCTGCCTTTTGGATATATCTCATAAGACCAAATATTTATTGAAATCCTTCCCAGAAAGAACACCTTGTACCCAATCTGTAATTTATAACCTCTCTGGTTTGGGTCACTCTGCAGAGGCCTCAGCTCATTCACTACTTAAAAGAATCTTCTTTTGCCATCTTCTGGTGTGCCTGTCCTGAGATACTGCATTAGCTGTTCTAGTGCACGCTATCCCCAGGCCACCAGAGCATGAAGGAACGCGTTAGCATCTTTAAACTGAGACATCCTTCTGTTTCCAGTGCATAGGCATCCTCCTTACATGGTTTCTCTTCAATCATGGCTCTGAAAGGAAACGTGTAACTACTGACCTCACCTCACATATCACCCAGTACAAAACGCTCCCCGTGTACTGTACTCTCTAACTGCTGTGGCTCTATTAGCACATGTGGTTACATCGAAATAATTAACTGCAAAAGCTTGGTGACACTAATAGACGCAATACATTCTTTTTCACTGACTACCACTAATACTCTATTATGATATCATATAGTATCCAAATGCACCTTTGCATAGACACTGCAGTTATATTTGTTCTTATGTTCTCCCACAATATTTGTTCTTAGAATACGGAGAAAAATAATGAATTTTAAACTGACAACTCTGGATGGATTTGAAAGGGCTTTTCAGGAATAGAAATGGCTTACTAGAGATGCAGTATTCTACCATAACGTAAATGGAGATTGGATAGAAAGCTGGTCTTAAGCAACCTTGCATCAGAAGTTCCCTCTGGGCATGACGACACTAGCGCTAATTCTTATCTTTGAAATGCACCGTGTAGAAGGTGCTGGACTGTCACTATCAAGAGATGAAAGCACAGATGAAGCACTGATAGAGCACACCATGTAAGTCAGGTATATTCTTGGAAGTGAAATGGGCAGACTGGCATTCCAGGAAGGTGCCTAGCTAAATTCCTAGACGTCTACAAAACCATTTTCCCTGGTAACTACTTTTTTTTGTGACGCAAGAAAAGTGGTTAGAAAAGAAATTTCACAGTATATTAAATATTTATTTTTTTTACACACTAGCAAAGAAGGAAGCTTAAATTTACCTTTACAAATTATATTAGCATATAAAATCCATATCTTTATTCCTAGATCCCCTCTAATCAATCCCTTTAAAAAACAAAAACATACACAGCCAGCAGTGCATTTATGCACCATGAGAAAAGTTGTGTGTACATGGAATGAAAGCAAACATCCAGAAAAGAAGTCAGAGCTTATGGAGGAATTATAGAATTAACAGAAGATTATTATCTTTCTGCTCAGCTGTTTGAAGCTTACGAAAAATGTAACAAAAGTAACATAACTGATTTCTCTAATATAAAATGATGAATTTGGTATGAAAAATCTATATAGGAAGGAATAATTTTCTCTTAGGTCTGTCATTTGGGATGTTTTTCCTTTTTCACAGAACCCTAATAGTGGGGTCTTCCTTAGTAGGTTTTATTCCTTCCAAGGATTGCTATTAACAAGGAGTAAAGCATCAGACTACTACAAACGCTTCTTTTTAACATACAGGATGAGGAAAGTCTTGGGGTTTTTTTTCCTCCTAAAAGTGAAAATCTAAAATGCATTTGTGAGCCATAGCTAATGAAACAAATTCTTTATCAGCTAGGACCCCAGACTTACTCTACTCAATTTGAGAACTCGTTTCTTGGACACAGATGCAGGAAAAAAGTTGCAATTCCATGACTGCCTAACTTTAAGCACATCAGAAGACTTCGTTACTCCCAGGGAAATATTCAAAGTGCTGAAAGCTAGCAGAATGCCTGAGTGCTTGGCTGACTGAAGCACATACAGAGCAATGCAAACAACTAATACCAAAGAACTCCATTCTTGCACGCAAACAGTCTCATCAATCTTAGTGGAAAAGCAGAACTGAACAACAGCTACAGAATCAAGTATTTGTGGCAATGCGATAAGACTATTAAAATACAAGCAGACTCCAATCCACTTACCAAAACACTGTGACATTCCCCATCTTCCTTTTCTCAGCCAACTATTACCAAGGCTGAATTTGCCCTCTTGATAGGGTGTAACCCCGGCCTTGCCTTGCTGTTGGTACTGGGGTTTCCACCCCAGTGTCTTTCTCTTCTCTTCTGTCTTAACATCTGGGTAACATTTGGTGCACAGACAAATCATAGTGATGTATGTAAACAGAGACAAACATACAGAATCATCACCACTAGTAAATCCTGTTCAAATAGAACAAAAAGAGCTGATGTGCACGTCACTTGAATATGGATAGTTTAACGTGGAAAGTCACAGACAGTGACAGAGAATATAAAATTAACGAAGTGCAATAAATTCCTTTACGGCTTGTGGCTATAACACAAGTGTAGAGAGAGCAGGAATATGCTGTGAGAGTAGCTACTTAGTTTTGTTGGCAGCTGTTCTGCTGGCATTTGCCAGCTGCTGGCATGTTTGTCCCCTTCATTTTAACCAAGCAGAAAGCCAGTGCCTGTTTAACTTCAACATGACAGGACTGTAATTACTTGCAATGCCTTTATAGCACCAGCTTTTAATCAGTCGTATTTTTCCAAAACATTCAGATTTTGTGCTGAAAGTTTTCTGGTTTTTAACAAGGCTTTTACAACTTTGTATTATTTGTTCTCTGAGTCTGAGTTGAGGCCCTTCTGAACCACACTTACAAATAATGGGCATCAAACTACAGAATAAATAATAAACATCCAAACTTAGGACATGGTACTTGCTATGGAAACAACCCTTTCTGAACACCAGAAACCCTGAATCCTTGCTTTGAGGAAAAAGGCACTGACTGAAGGACTAATCCATCCCCAGCAGTTGCCTGTTATATCCAAGCAAACTAATTAAACCTGCTCATCTCTGGAAAATCATCCTGGCATGAATAGTCTCAGACTGCAAAATCTCACTGTAACACACAATCTTATCAACAAATAATTCCAAACAAAGACAGCTGACTCATGGTATCGTGAATCAGAGGGCAAAAAAATCCTCTGAAGGCCGAAAGGAGTAAATAAAATTAAGATGGATGAAAAAAAATAATTTCTGTGATCTGCAATTTTTGCAATATTTCGTAACCTCTTGAAAAATCAAAGTTTTTGATTTGGATGAGAAAAAATTAAGCCCTCTGTTTTTCCTCTGATGAGATGCATTTCAACACAGACATACATGCTGTTGCTCATTAAACCAACCTGGCACAAGGCCAACCCCAGCAAACCCAGTAGGAAAGGTACACCTTCATTCTCTTCCAGATCTGTGTCTTTGAAGCACATCCAGTTGCTCTGTGGAGACACCTCTGTTGCTCTAACCCAGTCAAGGACTCTGAGCTGCCACACGAACCAATATCCAAAAATCTACCCTCCTCTGTGCACCTTACATGGCTGCCTTGTGGCCTCATTTTTCTTTGGTGTAAATTCAAACCATAATCAAACAGGTCAAGGAAGATACTTTGGGAAGACAGAAACAGATAATAAAGTGAGTGGTAAGAAGTGTATAAAAAATGAGAACAGCAAGTAGACCAAGAAAAGTAGTTCCAAATACCTAATACAGAAAGAAGGAGAAAAGCCAACACATCCAAAATGAGGATGGTGAATCAGGCAACCAGTTTTGGCTCTGCGAAGTATTTCTGTTATCATTTTCCTGCAAAACACTTCTGAACCAGTTCATCCACTTATGTGGGTACTCCGTCTCAGTAGAACTGAAACAGCTAATTTCTTCCTTCAGACAGATGAATACTGGCCTTGAGGATCCGCCTGCACTGCCACAACCAACCAACCAAAAAGTGTCAGCATATGAACTGAACTATGGAAGGGATACAGAGGCAAGGCACTGCGTCAGGGTTTGAGAAGAGTGGTTGGTGGTATAAGTGAATGAAAACAGAACTTGAGACTACACCCCACCAGAAGGAAATTGAGGACCACAGGAAAATTTTTTTGTGAAACAAGCTCCAGAAAGCGATGAAGATCAGGTAAACGTGCATGTGCAGCCATGCTGCTAGCAGCAGAGTTACAAGCTGATCCTGTTGGGAAGCTCAGGATTACAGGAAGCTCCGGGGCGCTAATCCCCACTGAAGAAAGATCCCGGGGGAAAGGGGAAAGTGTTTCTTTACAAGGAATGGACTCCATCTAGCAAACCTGAGTCTTTGAGAATGAGGATGTGCAATTCACAAAGGAAAGACTCCGCAAAATTTTTTAATTGTTTAGAGGGGTTTTTTTCAGTCAGTTTACATGTATCCTACAACCCACAATCACCGTCAAACGATGGGGAAAGTAATCATATCTATTTGTGTAACTGCAGCACCAGAAGGCTAGGATACCCCTGCCTGTTAACAAGGAATCCTTTCAGAAAGTATCCACTGACAGTCTGGCAACACCAGCTAGAAAATCCCTGTTATGAGTAGAAATACAAAGGAGAAATACAAAGTGATTTATGTAAATAAATGTATTTCATTAATAGAACCATGGAAATAAGCAGTAGTGTAATATGGTGAGTATGACTTCAACACAAGTGATCTAATAAATCATTTGCAGATATCACAGCTCCCTGTTTTTTGACAGGATTTTTTTTGTAACCTCCACCTAAATTTACTGCAGAGTGAAGACTAACATCTGTTTGAATGATAATATTTTCTCCTATGGAACTAGAAAAAATATTTTTAAATATTTGAGTCCAAGCTGTCTTCCAACTAAACAAACGTAAAATGTTTTTTTGTGGCAAGTAACACATTATGACCTGGAAAAATAGCCTTAAAAATATTTTGGGATATTTCAGGAGTAGTCTAAATGTCTCAATACCAATGACTTCTTTTTGGAATAAAGTTGAAAACTAAAACAGATTATCCCAGTTTGGTCGTTTGTTATATCACGACTACAGCCTTTTCCAATGCTTACGCTCATACAAATTTTTGCAAAGAAATTCACCATTTGTTTCATTCTCTTACTGTATCTATATGCAGCAACCTAAAACATCTAAACTACCTACATAAATTGTGAGAGGAGATAATTCCATTCTTAAAACAGATCTTTCTGTAGAAAAAACCTGTGGATCTTTATTCCTGAAGAACATATCTTATTCCTATACCTTATACCCAGTGACACTGATAAGATTTCTGTGAGAACAAATGGATGAAACTAGTCCTGTTCCGTGCCTGTAGCGCTTCGGAGATGATTATTTCTTTTTGTAGTTTTCCGGTTATAATTTGTAAGACATTATCTTCCATGTTTCCTTGCCAATTCTATGCAACTGACAAACAGCGCTAATCTAAACAAGATTTTTTAGTTTGCTCAGTAGGAGCAGCAACTGTTAATTTTTTTTTCTTTTTTCTTTTTTTTTTTTACACTTTCTTTCTGTACACTGTGCTACAATTATGACAAATTACTGTTAAACTCTTGCTAATTCCAGTGACAGCATAAAAATACTTTGCAGTTCTGTATGTAGTGAAAGACTTTGATTATACATACCTCTGAAAAGAAAACAGACAGGATGACTAGGCTGATCCAGTGAATTATTCCTGCAAACTGTGAAGCACTTGAAACTGCAATTAACACAATACAATGAAGCATCATTATAGTAGCAGAATGCAACTTATGTTTAATATAATCAGTACTGCTACAACTTACATACGGGTGAAGCTTGCTTTCTTAAATTTTGTAATAGAAGTACCAGAAAGGGGATGGGATGTAATGGGACATGGAACTCCAGCCCTGTCAGCTGCTCACCCTAATTCAGGCCAGCATGTTAGCAGCCACAGCAGCTGTTCACGGGAGCTTTTACAGATAAGACTGCCGGTAAGCACTGACATACACATTTGGGGTCTTTGATGCTCTGTCACTGCTCCATGCTCTCACTCCATGCACTGCTTTAGTACGAGATGTATGACTAAATCCTGGATACCTAAAAACCCCGAGTTAGAATTCTGTAAGGAAAAAGAATGCTCTACTATCCCCACAACGTTCCTTGTATTCAGTCTTTGACAATTCAGCTCAGAAGACCAGTAATTATCTGGAACAGGTGCTTAAAAACTAGTGCTCAAACTGGGCTTCAAAATACTTTTCTATCATCTAAATAAATAACCTAGATTGGTAGACTTTTGTACAGCTCTCCAGATGTGGCATGACAGCCATGACTGGCTCAGAATCCCACTCCTCTCAGAGTCAAGTTTGACTCTAGGAAAACCATAGTGAGAGAAGCAACAGAAGGAACCAATGTCATTGTTAATTGTTAATAAGATCAAATCTTAACATATTAATTTTAAGGAGTTTGTGAAATATCAGCAATTCTAATTTGTACAACAAACATAATGTGACTATTTTTGTACAGTCTATTTCAGGAAACATGGCTGTCATATGGACAGCTTTGTCTTTAAGCAAGTTTCTACGAGAACACCCAAGAAAGTTACAGTACATGAAATAAAATTCCAGTTTAAGTAATTGGTTAAGACACACAATTTCCCTTGTAAGCACTCTTTTTCAGAAAGACAGTAGCCATTAAAATCACTTATGTTCACTTCATTTCAAACTCCTCCATGAAAAGAAGTCTGTAAAGGGTAAGTTAAAATGGTAATTTATGAAACTCTGGATTCTACACACTAACTTCCCATATAGGTACTCTTTATGCATGCAGATTGTTGAGGTAGTTATTCCACTTTCAAAGTGGAATGACTTTGAACAAAAGTCCTTTCAGGAACTGACTAGCAGGAACACTCAGGAAAACTTATCTGAATTTATTAAAAGCATGATTTTACAGAGTACTAAAGCCTTGCACAGACACTCACTGGCATTAAATCAGGCTTTCATTTGATTCAACTTATTTTGCTTTGTAAGTAAAATGAAATAAACTCAGACAAATTAGTTTGCTGCAAGACTACATAAGAAGCTCTATGGTATGGGTTGCCTTTATGGGCTTAAATGAATCTCTTGAAATCTGGAAGATTCCTTAATAAGTAAGTTCAACTGAAATTCTGTGATCAAAGTTCCCTTCATTGCTGACAAAACAAAGCAGAAAGCTGAAAGGGTCCAGTATCTGAACTGCTGGCAACTCCTACTCTGAAGGTCACATGCTCTCAAGTTTGGAATAAGGGAATGAAGACAAAAAATTCTCTCTTTACTTCAGGGTACTTGTGAGTCTACCATCCCTACAGCAGACAGATTAAAATAGTCTGTGCAGTCTTGCAGTTTCAAAGAATTACTGTGTAACAGCAAAGTTTAAGGCAATTGATGGCTGTGTGCATAGAGATGCAAGACTGTGGCAGAATTAACTAAGTCCCAAGAACATATAGGGCATGCACTAATAAAGCATCTTATTTTAAAATTAAAAATGATTAAAATGGGAAGAGGAGGGAAGGGATGTAGGAAGAAATCAGGATACAAAGAAAACTGTTTGCATGGGCTGCCACTGGAACTCTCACAGCTGGGCTTGATGAGAGAGGGTTTGCTGTTGTGCAGCAGAGGAACTACTTAAAAATGAAACAAATGGGCAAAATATAATACATTTAACTTTCCCAAGACACTGTCTTTAGAGGGTGGCATAAAGAACAAGAAATGAAAACCATTTGTAAGCTGTTTCTCCAACAGCTCTCGATTGACATACAAGGCTCTAGCTGCCCCTTAGTGGACAAAAAAGATATAGCAACCACGAATTTGGAAAGAAAATCAATTTCTGATGCTGCACTAACTGTAACAGAGCGCTGGATGCGCTGCCAGACAGTGTGCAATTAAATTGCCAGTAAAACAGTAAATTTGAAAAAGCCTTCCAAGCAAGAAGCTTTTGTACAAGAGCTGAATCACTAGCCCATACACCAAATCTGGATATTTACCTCTTCCAAAACACTCCCTTTCAAAAATGCAATGAAAAACTACAAAAACGGGAGAAGGGTCTTCTCCAAGAGGTGCTCACCCCTGCTCTGTGGTGGTTTGAATACATCACTGGGATTCAGTTTGAGGCAAAGCACCTAAGCTATTCAGCTTCTACTTTTATCTGGAACAGAGTTTCACATTTGTTGAACTTTTAACCTTTTTTCCCCAAAATTGTAGCTAAAAGCCAAGAAGTTCTGCTTTATTTGACATTTTGCATGTCTGGTGCTATGGGGAAGAAGTGAATGCAAATCCAGATGCTTTTTAGTCATGAAGAATATGGTTCAGTATAAAATTCAGAGTACAGCCAACCTCAGTCTACCCTCCTCCCCCTTTCCTATCTCCTCAAAATGTATATCCAGGAGGGGAGGGATGAAAAATACATCCTGACAAACCCTGAGTGGCCATTATAGAAGCTTGTATTACCAGCGCTTGCTTTCAGGGGATGTTGTTCTTGATGATGATTTCCTGGCAGATACAAACCATACTGCTTCTGCAGGGAGTAGGCAGCAGATGCTCACTGCATGGTTTGGGCAAGCCCTGAACCCGTTCTTACTGAGGCACTGCTGCACCACAACGTGCACTTTCTTTGCACAGCTATGCATGTACTCAGACAGGGCCCTGATCCAGCAACCAAATGGACAGGAGCGGAGCTTTCAGCTTCACAGTTTTCAGGAAGGCCTAATGCCTTTTACAGACACACCTGCTGTAGTTGATTGCAGGAGGGCAATACTAAGATGATTTCCTGAGTAACTTTCCCCCAAAACTACTGAAGACAAGGAAGGGACAGCAGGCTCTATATTTCTGAGGAGTGGGGGTTGGAACCTGCCACAACCCTCTCTTTTTGAAATGAGGTGCAAGTGACTTGATATACATCTATTTCTGCATTTGCAAAACTTCACAAGGTATCGAGACATTATTTTGTTAATGCATGTAAAGAGCTTTGAAGATAGGACTAAAAAAGCTGATTATAGGACAGAGACCTATATAAAAGACCTATTACATGTCCTCTGCTTTCCGGGGTTTCTAATTCCGGCACGAATATGCTTTGTGATAAAATACTCTAAAAAGGTCTCTGTCCTTTTCATGTGTGTGACCTACACACTTGCAAATGTGGTCTCCATCACTGACACTGACAGTTTTATGTATGGGAGAAGTGCACAGTGCAACCAAAGACTGCACTAAAAGTATGAGAGGAAAATGATGCTCTCAAAATGCCCCAGCCAAAGAAAACACCAGTTTGTTTTGTTGTTTTTTTTTTAAAAAAAAGGAGGCTCCCTAAGTAATTACAGTCTGTAATGTGGATTAGCAGTTGTTATTATGAACAAAATTGGCAGTGATGTGCTGTAACATATCCTAATGCATTGGTTGATTTCATATAGCATAAGGAATCATTTAAAACTGTAATTACATTTTTGAAAAACATAATTATGGCCTAATGGCTTTTTAAAACTTTAACGTAAGTGACACACATTCCTCATATGACACAACTGCAATACTTGTATCAGCCCCACCAAGATAGCCTTTATCTGATTTAAAACAAAATAGAAGGTATTCAACGTAACAAAGGCAAGAAGCCTGATGGGTTGATGCATTAGTTAAAACGCAAAGTAGCAGCACAGAGCAGAATGGGTCCTTTCTCAGGTGCCAAGAAAATCCATACAGGCCGGGGCAGCCTCTGAACAGTGAAATCACCTGGCTTGACCAAACACCTATAGGTCATGCACAAGACGTAAGCTGCAGAGCTTCTAAGAGTATCACATGCACTACAAGTGATACAAGAGTATCACATAGAGGAGGAATGATCCCTAAAATAAAGCCTTCTTCAGAAAATAAATGGTAAGAAAGCAGGTGCTTCCAGAGAAGAGTCTCCAAAACTGTGTTAAAAATCTAAGAGAAATCAACAGAAACAGTTTTTAAACTCTGGCTCTACAGGAAGTGACATTTCTCTACATTAACAGAAAGATGTGGCACCTCAGTAAATACTGTTGAAAGCTTCTTCCTCATTCAATTTTTAAGGACTTACACCCATAATTAGCATTCCTGAGTTTTTTTGAAGGCAGCGGACTTGTCCAAATTCTGGGCTTCCTCATCCAAAATGGTAAATCACCAGAGACTACAGAAAACAACAACCGTAACGGAGTGGCCACGTTCAGAACAGTATGTGCAGTATGGACAGACAGGGGTGTAAATGGTGGGCAACAGTGTGGAAAGACAGCTTAGTCATTTATTCATCTCACAGGGTTTATAAAATGGCTGCAATTATCAATAAAGTCCCCTAAAGCAATCTTAATAAAATTGCAATACCTAAATCTTTACAGTGAAATCTAACTCCACTAATATCAATTGACAAATCACAAAAATAAAAGGACTTCAACAGAATAAAAAGTTTGTTTGCTCAGTTTAAAGTTGCCATAGAAGATACCAGACCGTGACTCTCTCACGCTATGTATTCTCGTATTTATGGGATTGTCTGAACGCCATCACTGCCATTACAACATATCTGAGATTCTATAGAGATGCTAGAGGCTGCTCGTCAACATTTAGCATAGGGAAAAATGTAGCTGGTATTTGTGTTCATGTCAGCTTTGTATCATAAAAGCAAAAAAAAAGGGGGGGGAATGGAGGAAAAGAGCAGTAGGAAAAAAAAAGATGAATTAGGAAGCAAAACAGCAGCATTAAAATTTCCATTGTGGAACCTGCGTAGAGTGAATTCAGATAAAGCAAAACTCCATTTAAGCTACTGTTTGACTCCCAGTGTATCAGCAAAGTAGAATGAAAATCTCTATCATTTCAGTGCATTACAAGATAGAAATCCATAATTTCAATTCCTACCCACCTCAGTCGAAGTAAATTAATAATAGAGATAGTACCAAATACCCTAGCAAGTTCATCGCTTCTGTCTATCCACGTGCACATGAAATGTATCAGAGATTAGTGACGCACAAATGATCTTTCTTCAGTGTATACAGTGTGTGTCTGTAAGGACAGACCTTTTCCAGTACTAATGACGATATGTGCAGATCTCTGCATGTACACTCTACTCGTATCCTTTGAAAATTTGTCCTGTACCGAATTTGGTCAGCAAAATAAGGAAGAGACTGACTTCACTATACCAAGGTTCCACAAAAACACATTTCTTACCTAGCCTACTAATCATTTAAATGGTAGGAAAAAAAAATCCCCACCATCCTCCCCCCTTCAAAAACCTCCCAGCACGTTAAGCCTTTATTTCATCAAAAAAAAAAAAAAAAAAAAAAAAATCCTCCTACTCACACTGGAGAAGCTTTATATCTATTAGGAGTTCCAGAGTCAGAAGAATCACCACCAATACTACACAGGCTACCAGGAAACTGTTGAGACTTGCACTGAGCAAAAATACCTGCCACACAGCTGCTCGCCTCCCACAGCATGGTTTTAGCCAGTTAGATCTAAGGAAATAAAATTAAGAGGAAAAACAAGAAAAGAAAAGAAGAAGTGAAAAAGGAAGAGAGCTAAAGAGCAGTGAACTCAAAATTACAAGCTCTGCTGTTATGGATACACTCAGCAATAATGTACAAAGACTTTTCAAAACTCACTTTTATTGGTTTCTTTACCAAGAAAAACACTTCACAAAAACCTTCACCCTGGGGATCTTGTGTGGCTCTCCAACCCTCTGGAGCATACCGGTGTTCAAGTGCCTTCCAATGCACTGAGTAATGCAACCCTAATTATCATACATACTTTTCTACTTTTCTTCCTGTCTTACTATTTTTCATGTGTTTTTATTTTGACACACATGCTGTATTCACTTATCTGCGAGTACCAAGGCATAGCAGAACTCTGCTGTTAGGTTAGAAGCTAATGATGTTTTTTAAGAATTTCTCTGCTATTGAATTTTATGGTCATGCACCTTTATCCCTGTTCTAGTACAAGACAAATCAGACAAGAGCTGCCAAATTTGGTTTGCAACAATTGGTCCATGACATCATGGAAAAGAGCAATAGGAATCTGGAAAACACCGAAGAACAACCTCAGTGACTCCACAGCTACACCTATACTAACAAATATACACAGCCTGGCAAAGTCAAGCCACTGGCCAAGGCTGTCTAGCTTCTCTACTTGTCTGACTCTCACCAATCTGTTTCCGGACAAGGCCAAAAAGGACCTTCCCAGAGTTTGGGGTAGCACAGTTTTGGGGACAGCGTATGCCAGGGACTGCTCCCAAACCTAGTTTAGATGAGGTCACCTTATTTTGGAGGAAAAAGGTTTAGGCAAGATGAAGGGAGCTGTGAGGAGGCTAGGAGGACCTCTGGAAGGAAGTTGAATCAGTAAATGTTGCACAAGTATTGTGCTAATGCAGATACACATTTCCAAGTGGGTTGTTAATTTTTTTTTTTTTTTTAATATTTGTAATAGGAATAATAGTAGCACAGACTTCAGAAGCATAAAGCCCATCCTGATACTTGTTTTCTCCTAAAATCCCCCCATAGCTTCACTTTGATACAGTATTGTATCATTTCTCATCATAGTGTTTCGTAATGTTCTTCTACTGGCCCACCTCTGAAAGTTCTGATGCTTGCCTGACACTTCATGTTTTCAAAGCACTGTAAACACACATTAGCTAATAAAGAGCTGACATGATTTATTAACTAGGGTTTAAGAAGCTGCAAGCATACAGAAGTGTGGTGCAGTAACCACACTGTCTGAACTAAAGTATTAATACACAGAAATCAATGGTATACAAGAAGATATGATGATACTGATCAATTCCAAATAAACAGCTCTAGACTCAGTAACTCATGTTACAATCAAACACTTGGAAAAACATCGCAAAACATTCCCTGACATACCCACACTCAAAAATGAGGGAGAAAGTGATGCTAAGCAGTGCTCAGAGACTTGACACTTTCAAGCAGCTTCTCAGAATTAAGCGTATCAACTAAACACTTGTACTCAGAGTGCCTGATTACCTGACCGTAAAAGACCTCCTCAGTTGACTCTTAAAACTTCAGGGAAGATTTGACAAGTGTTACTATCAGGAACTTGCCCTTAGTTTAACTTTGTTATGGTTCTAGCCTGAATGCAGAATGCACTAGATTTTAAATAGGTATTTTTAAAACATAAGGAAAAAAAGGCATTGGGATAGGGCCTCTTTGCAAACTTTTAATGGATTTTATTTTACATCATCTCAAAACAGGATAACTTGTCTTTCTGCAATTGGTATTTTGGGTTTGGGGTTTTTTTTAAAGATCTTTCTAAAAAGAATCCTAGGGAATGTTTAAATAGAACAGTTTTTAGTTGTTTCCTCTTCCTACATTTATCTCCCCATTTCCAAAAAGACCCGCTTTGCCAGCATTTTAATACTGCACGGCAGTTTTTCCTCTTTCCTATTCTCAGAATGATCAGTAGAGGGCCTAAGTACATTCCTTTAAAAGTTCTATGTAGTCGAGATTTTCAAATATACCAAATGTACCAGTAAGAATAATCAACTGTGATACTCAGTACACATTACATATAGCCACGATAATCATTAGTTATAGAATGCTAAAGAATGTGGAGTTATTCTGTCTGTGCAGTACCAATATTCCACTGATTCCAAAAAGCTTCTGAATGAAACTATCAGTTTACGATTGGAAAAGCAATCAACTTAAGAGGTCGAGTGCAGATCACCTGCATGTTTACACCTATATATCACTTATAAAAATATATAAACTGATTTCAAAGACACAAAAGTGTTTGAAATTTAAGCACTGAAAAAGCACCTCCAGTTTGACATCTTAATTTATTACACCAAGGTGCATTTGTTCAACACTTGTGCTGTGAATGGACAGTGATTAGCACCTTCACATCACTGCCTAGCAGACCTCTTCCCAGACCTCCTCCAAGTCCTCTGAATCCACTGACATTAACAATCACACTGTGCTCTAAAAGGAGCACTGGATGGTTTCTTTCCTGGGCGCTGCTTCGCTAGCTCATTCCCTGCTACTTCTACACTCCTGTATAGTAGAGTCCTGATCTTGCCTTGGGTTGTTGTTTTTCAGTTTTGGGGGTTTTTTTAGTTCTTATCTCTTGTAAAGGATAGACATTAATAAAAGGAACTATAATCCAACTAGAAATATATTTTAGATAACCCTGTTGACATGCTAACCACACTGACTCCTAATACACAAATCTCATCTCCTTCAACCCTGTTAACTGTCTTAGTAGAGTAGTATCTCTCCCTGCTGATGTAAGGGCTTATCCATTCAACAGATGAGAAATCTGGTATTTGAGAAAAACAAATCCCTACCAGAATTAGTGTGGGTTTAAACCTACCTTCCAAATCCTGGCCATTTCCCCTGCAATACTGCAAAGCTACACTAAGTTTACAGCTCAGATTAGAAACTCAGCTACACAAACCTTTCAAAAAAAAAAAAGTTAACTTACACAGCTCATAACTTCATGAAGAGATTACATACTAACCATTGTCCTGGTTTCGGCAGGGACAGAGTTAATTTCCTTCCTAGTAGCTGGTACAGTGCTGTGTTTTGGATTTAGGACCAGAACAATGCTGATACCACACCGATGTTTTAGTTGTTGCTGAGCAGTGCTTACACTAGTCAAGGACTTCTCAGTTTCCCATGCTCTACCGACTGAGCAGGCTGCAGGTGCAGAAGAAGCTGGGAGGGGGCACAGCCAAACTGCCCAAAGGGACATTCCATACCATGGGACATCGTGCTCAGTACATAAACTGGGGAAAGCTGGCCGGGGGGCTGCTGCTCGGGGACTGGCTGGGCATCGGTCGGCGGGGGGGGAGCAATTGCACTGTGCATCCCTTGCTTTGTGCATCCGAAAAAATAAAACTAATGAAAAGTTGTTTAACTGTTTTTATCTCAACCCACGAATTTTTCTCACTTCTACTCTTCCAATTCTCTCCCCCATCCCACTGGGGATTGGCGGGGAGGAGTGAGCAAGCGGCTGTGTGGTACTCAGCTGCTGACTGAGGTTAAACCACACCACCATATACAAGTTAAACAACTTTTTCCCCTCACTCCAGGGAAAAAAAAAAGGGTGCCCTATTTTGTTCAGAGAACAAGTACAACTTCTTTCGGTGTCTTGACTGTGTTGTCTGTGGATGTCATGCACTATATGGATCAAGTAAAGTATGACTTAGGACAACTTTACTGTGCAACTTCAAACAGGTTCATTAGGTACCTCAGTTACTCCATCTCTAAAACAGGAATATTATTTACCTTTCTTACAATGCCTGGATGAAGTAAATAAATGTACTAGCATGGGAATTTCTTGGTTGATGGTGACACAGGGCTGTAAAGTTTTGTTATGAGACATTAAAATATATTTAGTGGAATTTTACCAGGGTAATTCTTTTTAAAGGTACTTTCACACATGGCTTTGTGGAAAACCAATCTGTCATCATCACTGCTAGTTTTCTTAATAAACAGCTTGGAAAAAAGAACATAAGGCAAAACTGGGAAAGGTTTAACATATTTATTTGGTAAGGAACCACTACAAACAATTTGTTCAAGCTGTTAACAGCTGCCATTGTTTCTATTTTCTGGTCTTGCAAACAAATACCCCAAAATCTGCATTATACCTTACCCTGTCTTGTTTTTTGGGTTTTTTTTTGTTTTTCTTTTGGCTAAACAGCAAGTGTTTGCATCTCACAAGATGGCTATGATCAGAAAACAGAAGGATGGATGAGATCCAAATCACTATCTGAAGGAGTAGAAAGGCCATGGTCAGGAAGTGACAGGAACACAGAAAGGCTACGTAACAATACAAAATCTGGCTGAGACAAAACAGACAGCAGAGCCTCACAGCAGGCTTACAGGTAGCAGCTGGAGGCCTTGAGCAACTCCAAGGAACAAACAGAGCTCTGCACCCCTTTCCTGGACTTCTCCTACAAGCTTAGTTTAACTACAGAAGTTTAACTATTGAGAGCACCCTCATCCTTTTTTTCCCTAAAAGTTTTACTATTTAAAACCCCATGACATTTCTTGGAGGACTGCTGCAAAACTCTCTTGCTCAAATGGCAAGAAAGATTCCCCCAGTTTTCTGCCTAAACTCACACATAGCCAGTTTATACATAGTTGCTCTTATGCCAATACTGTTCTTTAGCTTGATTAGTTCTTTTCCCTTGCTGGCATTTTGTCCATGATGCATTTATATACAGCAACGACATCCACTCCTGTAATTTAATTAAAGCCCATGCTTTTTGTAAAACAGACAGTTTCTATAACTGTCCTAGTAGTCCCTTCTGCATGTGAATACAGACAACTAGAGCGATACATAATATTTTAGCATAGGTTTAATCAAATGGAGCTGGGAAGCATTCATTTAAAGTACTTTATGCTTTCTAGGATCATTTGTGCCTTCTTTATAGGTGTGTATCACACCGTTTGCTCACAGACATCCTGTGATTACCTGGTATATTACTCCTCTCATTAGA